CTTAATTGTGCAGATCCAGGTGTCGGGACTAGTTAGTAGTACCGGGGTTGTGTATTAAGCCGAGCAGCAAGAACGAGGTAGAGCTGAATTCTCGTCCGCAATCTTGACGTCTCTTTTCTTATATATTGTTGTCTTTATTTCAGATAGTACAGTAATTGGTTATTTCAGACTTGTATTTCTGTATTAGATCTCATGACTCTGTAGTTACCAGTTATAGGAGTTTATTATGATATGGCATTATTATGTTATGTTAAGGTTTCAAATTTATGTTAATTCTGTAAATCCTGCTTTTATGGTTCTTTATAATTATATCCAGCTTTCCTAGCAAGAGTGTTCGGCGCCATCATGATGGGTTGGGTTTTGGGTTGTGACAATCCCAAAGAAAAGGGCACGCCATTCAGATGAAAATATTTGATGCAACCTCTGGTAAGTTGCTGGAAACTAAGACTTTCAAATATAAAAATATTTTTTTGATACAATTAGAGTTCATAAATAGAAAAAACAACACTTGATACTTATAATAAGGCTATACTAACATTTCATCCAGTTTTTTCGAGGCTCAATCCGCATAGAACCACCCCATCCATTGCAAAAAGAAAGGCGGGGCCCAGTGCTATGGAAATTTGTATCAACTTGGACACGAACTCCAATCAAGGACCAACTTGTCAAAAGCGGCCCCCATTTCAGGAAATCAAACCCCGAACAGCACAGACCCAAAATTTGCTTTTGGGGTTTAACGCAAGATCCAGTATTGCCCCACAACAACACCCCTAAGTCCATTATAGGGGCTCAAATTTCACAATAAAAGTTATTACACTAGATACATAACACATATCCATCCCCAACCCGATAGTCAAGAAATCCCACCACAATCTATGGCTAATCAAGTGCAAGACCTACAAAACCATCATACCCTCTTAGGTGATATGACACTTTCTGTCGCGTTCATAGGGATTTGCAATTATTTTCATATCCCTGTTATTAGTCGCAACTACTAAAGATGTCCAGAAAGAAATTTATTTTAATGCAAATTTAGGATCTGCCATCATGGCTTCTTTGTCAAAATCAGCCACACAACTTCCTAAGAGACACAGCAAAAAGAACAAAAAAATATCTTATTCCTAGCCACCACCAATTACCATTACCACCATACCCTTACTGTTGGACCACACACCAGCATTGTGGCTGGAGCTAGGGTTATAGGGGCCATGACTGACTTACAATTTCCTCATGGGTAACCCGCCAGTGATACTCATCATCCAAAACCCAGCCTACCGGGCACGAGTAACAATGGAAGCGATAAATCAGGGGTTGGCGAACTTTGGAACCTAGCTATGGCACACAGTGATTTTGCAGAGTATCGATCAAAGCAACCACCACAACATCTCATTGCAGATGGCCAACAATCTCATGTAATAGACTTTTCTCTCGATTCTTTTCTTCCCGAACCTTATAATGGAGGATCCAGCAATAACCCGCAACTTTACTATGGTGGACCACCAGGCTCAACAAAAGCTTCTTGTTAAATTGCAATAAGGGTGAAAGCACACTTATCCCTAAAAAATATCAAAAAAAATTAAACAGAGCTTTAGATCAACTGGCCCCACTCACGAATATATGTGTGAGTTATGAAATTCAAGAAACTTTCGGACAAATACGTACAACGCAGAGAAATCCATAAAAGAAAGTATAATTTCCATGACTAACAAATAGCACGTCAAGCAGCTAAAATAGCAAAGTTTCTATATTCTACGCCAGTCTAGTCACATGCTAAATTATGACTTAAAGCATTTAAAGAATAACTCAAGTAATACAATTAAAACAAGATATGAGTCTAAGTCTACTCGGACATGATCAAGAATCTAGCATACGCACAGATACTCGTCACCTTATATGTGCTTAGATGTCATAACACATAGCACGTCAAATATGGCATCTACGGGGGTAAATTCCCTTTTACAAGGTTAACCTTGAGACTTATCTCACTCCGAAATCCGATAACCGGCTACAATGCTTCTCTAACGCCTCGAACCAATGCAAAACATTTCGAAACAAGTCAAAGAATGTGCAAACCAATCAAAATATACTCAAAGACTCATAATTTAACAATTAGGAATAATTCCCAACTCCACATGAGAAGGAAGAGAAGGAATAGTAATTTCGTCATCATTTTCCGGTCATAACTCCGGCGACCGGTGGTGAAATTAACCAAACTTGGTGTCAAAAGATACATATTTTCTTTATGAATAACATCCAATCGGTTTCAACGTCAGATCTATAGCCAATTTTTATAGATCTTAATTTCTTTTCCGCAAATTACTATAGCATACAGTTCTTCACTTTTTTTGCTACTGCTCAGTTCTTTGGCAATAATATTCAGCGCTACTGACTTATTGTATTGTCGATGTGATCTCTATATGGATTGTGGTTGAAATACATATTTCTAGGAGTGTGGAAGATCTGTTTCGTTCACTTGCATTTGAGCAACCTTCAGAAATACAACATTGAGAGCAGCTTCTTCTTGGTCGTTCATGGCCAAGCTGGTCGGCGACCAGCTAGCAACAATGGCTGGTCAGCCACCCCAAGCAACCTCCACCATCCCAACAACATTACATCAATACCCAAGCCCCTAGATTTTTCGAATATCCTGAAACCAGATGTGATCAATGCAGCAGGGCAAGGATCAACGACAAAACAGTCTACTATTGATCCTATACCACAGCGTCAAGTAGTCATATTACATGGACAACCAATGGTTTATTTTACTGAAGTAGAAGTTGATCGAATGAACATGATCTAAGGCTTACAGCATGCAGTAGTTTGCAAATTCTCATATGGGTGGCCATAAATTGCTGAATTAAGACGAATTGTGCCGCAACAATGTGGAATTAAAGGTGACTGTAAGATAGGCTACCTTTGTGACAGACATGTGTTAATACGATTGTCGTTATGGCAAGACTTTGTTGAATTTTCGTCGAAGGGTGTGTATTATGTTAAAGACAAATATGGTCTGGAATACCAACTGAGAACCTTGATATATGATGCTAAATTCAAAGCAGGAGAGGAAACACCTAAGGTAATGGCGTGGATTTTGTTTCCAAATTTGTTACCAACCTACTTTGTTAAAGAATGCCTTTTTTCTTTGGCTTCTGCTGTGGGAAAGCCACTTCACCTAGATTTGGCCACGATTAATAAGACAATGCCAAGTTGTGCCAAAGTTAAGGTTTTACTTAATCTCCTAGATAATCTTCCTACGAAGGTGCGAATGGACATCCTCAATGAAACGTCAGGAACTGTTAGAACTGAATGGGTTACTGTAAGGTATGAGTACATACCAAAGTATTGCAAAGAATACAAGATACAAGGACATGACATGTTTGAATGTTGGAGAATTCACCCGGAATTAATGTAAAGCAAAAAAGACAAACAAAAGTATGCTAAAGAAGTTGTGGTTCAAAGTCAAAATGAAAATAAAATACACAAAGCCCCAATGATGATTCTTACTAGTGGAAAATTCATAGGTAATGTCAAGCATCAATGGAAGGAAGTTAGAAATAACAGAGGACAGAACAAGGGTAAACAAAGTGAGAATAATGAAGCAAACGACACTACTGGGAAGGAAATTGTTCCGGTCAATAATGAAGCAACACAATAGGTACAAACAACAAACAAATTTTCTCTGTTGGAGGTTGAAGAAGTTGCAGTTAACGAATTCAATCAATTAGATGTAGTGGAGCAGACACCTTGTCAAAACGATCTTGTACATGAGGATAATGCTTCAACCGGAAATTTGAACCCAGATGCTCATGCTGTTAATCCAAACAATAATAAGACTATGGCTTCAATCGCTGTTAACAGCTGTAATGCTACTGGAGGTGGAAAAGGAATGAATCATACAACCCAGTCATTTAATCCTGTAGCATTTAGAACAAAAGATGTTAGCAATGGGGAATTGACACCCGCTAGGGTACAGAAAAATTATCCTAATAGTGTGGTAGGTGTAAACACCTCTTGTCAAGATATCCCATCAAAAGACACAAGGGTAGATGTAGAGTTGGCCCAAAATGCAAACGAAGTAAATACAACTGATGCAATAACAAGGCAGGAAGAGGAGATAACCAGTGACAATGACCAAGTTGAAGATACTGATTTTGAACTTTTTAAAAAGCATTGATAAAATAAAGTGGAATGGAAATAAATTGTGGTCAAACCAACCTGAGGAAGATGCAGCAGAGGGAGAAATTCCAGATGGAATGGCAAGCGACAAGGAAACAGGAGGGGAAACAAACAACGAAGAGGATCAAAGCGTCACAAAATGCTGAAATCCAGTTTTCTCCAAATGCAGAATTAATCCATGATAAAGTAAGAGTGTGTAATGATGAGGACCCTGGTGGAACAGTAGCAGGTATCAACAAGTCTGAGAAGAATAAACCAAAACAAAAGAGTGTAGAAGATAGTACTGCTAAAACAAAAAACACTGCTAAGGATCCAGGTAAGCAAGAAACAACCGTGAAGGTTGCTGTGGAGAATGTAGAAAAGGATACTGTTACATTGAACTCTGGCCAGCTACAACATGTAAATAGCTCTGCAAATAAAAAGCTGAAAAATGTGAAGAGAAGTACAGATATAATTTGTTCTAAAAATACAAAGAAAATTGACTTACCAATTGATCAGACAAATAGGGATTTGGATGAGGAGTCAACAACACAAAACTTCCTCAGTGTGGCTAAGGAAGGTGATTTATCACCTAGGCACATTGAGCGGGTGAAATCTGCAGCTAAAGTAAAAAAAAAACAAGCAAAAGAAACCTTCACAGTCCCAGCAGGAGGTATACAAACTAGAAGAACACTTTCTAAATCCAAAGATCAATGATGAAGGCAATTATATGGAATGTGGGGTCTGTTAATACAATGCAGGCATTTGAAAGATTGATCACAATGCATAGACAACATCATTTTGAATTTATAGGGATTCTTGAACCTATGCAATAATCTAACAAGATGGAAAACTATAGAAGACGAATAGGCTTGGCCCAAGCAGTAGTGAATGTCTCAAACAAAATTTGGGCTTTCATTGATGAAGCTTTTAATGTGGATATTTTGTATAACACGACACAACAGATTACACTGAGATTATTCCATACAGAAACACATGTCGAGCTCACTCTCACATTGGTATATGCAAAATGTGATGTTATTGAAAGAATAGAATTGTGGGATTCACTCTATGCAATGGCTTCTGACATGACAGTACCATGGCTTGTGGGAGGTGATTTTAATGTAATTTGGGATGAGGAGGAGAAATTTGGTGGATTACCTATATCATTAAATGAGGTTGATGATTTTAGGCACTGCATCAATACATGCAATTTGACTAATTTGGGCTTCAAAGGGAGCATTTACACATGGTGGAATGGTAGATCAGAGGAAGACTGTATTTTTAAGCGGCTGGATAGATGTCTTGGTAACATAGAATTTCAACTGACTTTCCTAGGGGTGGAGGTGTCACATTTGTCTAAAATTGGATTTGACCATTGTTCTATGCTATTAAAATGTGATACTGAGTCTCTCACTATCAAGAAATCATTCAGATTTCTTAACTTCTGGGTACAACATGCATCATTTAAAGATTTGGTAAAGGAAAATTGGAAGGCTAACTTTGCTGCTAATCCTTTTGTGACCTTTAATCATAAATTAAAGAAGCTTAAGAAAGCCTTGTCTACTTGGAGTAAAGCTACCTATGGAGACATTTTTCAGAAAATTGCTAGCCTAGAAGAAGTGGTCCTAGTTCATGAAAGACAATTTGAGCTTTCTCCTACTCAAATGAACAGACAAAGGTTGTATAAGGTTCAAACTGAAATGATAAAATACTTGGCATTGGAAGAACAGTTTTGGAGACAAAAGGTCGGAATGGCTTGGTTTAAGGATGGTGATCGAAACACAAGATTTTTTCATGTGCAAGTTAATGGAAGAAGGAAAAGATTAAAACTCACCAGAATTCAAGACAGCCTTGGAAATTGGGTGGAAGAGGAATATCAGATTGCAGCAGAAGCAGTAAAATTATACCAGGAGCAATTCAGGGAAGATACAATTCCAACAACTTTTCACATAATTGATCATATCTCATCCATGGTAACTATGGAACAAAATGAGAAGTTAAACAACAACCCCACTCTAGAGGAAATCAAGCATGCAGTTTTTGGGTTGAATGGAGATTCAGCAGGAGGGCCAGATGGTTTTACTGGACTTTTCTACCAATCTTGCTGGGAGATTATAGGTGAAGACATTGTGCAGATGGTATTATCCTTCTTCTGTGGACAACAACTTCCCAAAAAAGAAAGAAGTTAGTACCTTTTCAGACTTACGCCCGATAAGTCTTAGCAATTTTGTCAACAAAATCTTTTCAAGAGTAGTTCATGACAGAATGGTGGGTATATTACCAGGCTTAATATCAGAGGAGCAAGCAGGGTTTGTGAAGGATAGAAGCATAGTGGAAAATGTTTTGTTAACTCAGGAGATAGTCACAGATATGAAGCTCAAAACTAAAGTTGGTCCTAATGTTGTGATCAAACTCCATATGACGAAAGCATATAATAGGTTGTCATGGTTATTTCTTACTAAAGTGCTGAGGAAAATGGGATTCTCTGAAAGGTTTATTGGATTGGTATTTGATTTGGTTGGAAATAATTGGTATTCAGTTCTAATAAATGGAAAGCCACATGGTTTTTTCAAATCATCGAGGGGAGTAAAGCAAGGGGATCCATTGTCTCCGACACTTTTTATTCTGGCTGCTGAAGCTTTGTCAAGGGGATTGAATTTGCTGCATACAAACCTGTACTTTTGTGGCTTTGGAATGCCTAAATGGACCCCAAAGTCAATCATCTTGCATACGTAGATGACACCATAATCTTCAGTTCTTTTGATGCAACTTCTCTTCGACTCATCATGGAGATGCTACAAGTATATGAAAATGCATCAGGCTAGCGGGTTAATAAAGGTAAATCTGTTGTATATATTCATCACGTGGAAGATCAAGAAGTAGTAAGGAAAATGGAGAGGACTACTGGAATTGGTAGGAAGGACTTCCCCTTCACCTATCTAGGATGCCCAATTTTCTATGCTAGGAGGAAGATGGAACACTATCAAGGATTGTTGACCAAAGTCCTTGACAAATTGCAAACCTGGAAAGGTAAACTTCTATCCATTGGGGGTAGAGCAGTCTTAATAACTAATGTCTTACAGAGCATGCCCATTCACTTGTTATCCGCTGTCAATCCTCCTAACTATGTTATTAACAAGCTCCATAAGATATTTGCATAATTCTTTTAGAGTAGTTCTGTGGGTGGTACTAGTAGGCACTGGGCTTCTTGGACCAATCTGTCTATGCCATATGAAGAAGGAGGCATTGGATTTAGATCTCTACATGACGTAGCTAAGGCACTTTTATGCAAGCTTTGGTGGGTTTTCAGGACTAAACCAAGCCTCTGGAGTTCCTTTATGAGCCAGAAATATTGTAAAAAAATGAATTCTGTGGTAGTGCCCTGGAAGGGAGGTTCTCATGTCTGGAAAAAAATGATTGAATGCAGAGAATTAATTGAACATCAAATTTTCTGGCAACCTAGAATGAGCTCATCATTATTTTGGTATGACAATTGGACAGGGCTGGGTGCTTTATACTTTCTTGTTCCTGCAGATTTTGCGATTGATGATAACATACACAATGTTAGTGATGTGGGTGAGGATGGTCGATGGAATGTGGAAAGGCTATTGGAGGTCTTACCAGAGGAGTTTGTAACACATATAATTGAAAGAGTTAAGCCTCCAGTTATATCTAATGATTTAGATGTTCTTTTTGGATGCTAGAAACAAAGGGTAATTTCACTGTAAAGTCAGCATGGGATTATTTAAGGAGGAGGGAGGATCCTAGAAGAGCATATTGTTTGATTTGGGTTAAAGGTATGCCTTTTAAAATTGCTTTCTTTATGTGGAAAATATGGAGAGCAAAGCTGCCTCTTGATGACTTCATGCGCAGATTAGGCTATTCAATGGCATCTAAGTGTTGGTGTTGTGCAGAACCAAATGAAGAAACACTAACACACCTATTCTATACAGCAAACGCAGCAAGGACATTGTGGAAATTGTTCCTAAACAGGGCGCGAATAGCAACGGAGGGTCTGAGTTTGCATCAGGCAACAACAAAGTGCTGGACAGCAGCTGTATTGCCAAGAATTAAACCAATACTACAAGCTCTACCTTCGTGTATCTGTTGGAAATTATGGAAAAGGAGAAATAGCTTAAAACATGGTGAAGTTGTATCTATTAGTCGGGTTATTTATCAGGTGTCCAATACATTATAATTACTCATAAAACTGAGAAAACCAGGACTGCATGTTCCTCATAAATGGCAGGACATGTTATTGGTGCTCGAGAATTATTCTCCTAAGCTGAAATTTGAGAAAGTGCTTTAGGAGTTTCCATTTGAAGGATGGATTAAAGCTAATACTGATGGTGCATCTAGAGGCAATCCGGGAAGAAGCTCGATTGGGGTGTGCTTGAGAGATGAATATGGTGATGTTCAGTATGTTGCAGGTAGGGAAATTAATGAGGGCTCAAACAATGAAGCGGAAGCTGAAGCAATGGTGAGGCATTGAGAATATGCAGGTCAATGAATTACTCTAACATATGGCTACAAACTGACTCGTTGTTACTAAAAAATATAATAGATGGCATATGGAAACCTCCATGGAACATTATGGAACAAGTGGAGGAAATAAGGAGATTTAAGGAGAGATGCAACCTAAGAATATCACATATTTTCAGAGAAGGGAACAAGCTGGCAGATCACCTAGCAAACTATGCATTGGATTTTGGTCCTATTGAAGCGTATCTTTTTAGAGATCTGGACAATCAAAGCAGGAAGATAGTAAATGAAGATAAATCACAATGCCCATATATCAGAGTGAATGTTTCAAGGAGCTAAAGGATGCAACAAAGGGGATCGGTGCTATTACCAAAATCAGATCACAGAATATACTAGTACTGACAGACAGAGAAGGAGTTCTGGTTTTTCTTGAAGCCAATCTCTCTTCTTCTGCTAGCAGTACTTCCGAAAAGGTTGGGATTAGTTCTCAAACTGGAAAGATGTATTTGATAATGTCTTACCTTACTGAAGAACTACAGATAGTAGTATCAATGTGATGCATTCAATCAACTGGAAGGACACTAAAAGGTAACACTGGCATATCAAGGAGAAAAATCAAGTTACAGGCAGCCAAAGATTTTGGAGAATTAACTCAACTTAGCGTGCAACAAAACACAAGAAGTTATGAAGTGGTAATACTGATCGATGTTCAACTGCACATGGATGTCGACACAGATTGTGATACTGTGTATGCACTTTTGACAAGTTCAAGAATAAAGCTTGGGAACATAATTCTTAAAAGATGGGTTTGTCATCACACCAACTTGAAATATGGGACAGTGTGCTTCTTAAGTATGCAAGGCTGGTTCACATGGGGGAGAACACACGAATCAATGGATGAAAAAAAAAGCTTTTTTGGCTCTAAAAATGGGCTAAATAATTTCTACTTTCATGAGGCCCGAGGACAAAGCATGTTTCAATTGGAGATGGCGAGATTTAGAAACGAATACTGGGAATCTCTATGGAATGGCTCAGTCTCATATGCAGCTTCACACAGCCATCGCGTGATATCCAAGACAACTAGAGATAGTCAAATGTCTGATAAAGTTTAGTTGGCCAGAGGAACTTTTGCGTTACTTTTGGTTAAAAGCTTTGGATTGCTCTAACGCACGCCTTCTTCGTGGGGAAACTAACAACATTAGACCACTTTGGGATGAGGAAATAATACCCCTAAACAAACAAGTGTGCATGTCATTAACAGGGGGCATGGCACACAGTAATATATGGACCATTGGGATTTTAGATGAGAGCACTGGAGAGATTTATTTGGTCAAAAGAATGGGGCAAAGTTTGAGCATATTAGTAGAAGACATGTGTGTGGGACACAATACAACATACACAACCTAATTTTTTGAGACTTTCAAGAATTATTTTAAATGCAAATATCTCTCTCCACAAATGATATCTAGAAAAAATAGAACAAAAAAGTCTACTATTTGTGTGGGAAGCTATAATGAACATGCACAATGCAGGAATGCTAATGCAACAGTATCTCTAAATGCAACAAACTATTGTGGATTCGAGATAGCTTTGAGGGAGGTTTGGAGCAGCTATGAGTTTGACAAAGAAAGGAAGGGGAAGATGGAATCAAAGAACAAGGAATGGGTAGTTGAGAGGGAGTTGGGCAACACCAAAAGCCAATATCATCGAATCTGTAAAGAAGAGAGGGTACTGACTGATGTTTGCACTAACCATGTTTTCTTTTTTGCAGGAAATGTTAATATACTCATGCCTTGTCTCCAAATACGACCTCATTGGGTGGTATTAGCACTAAGTGCTCAATCCCGTGAGGAAGGAAAAGAAACAAGCACAAGCATGAGAGGTTTGAGTAGGATTACATCGCAAAACTGGAAAATCAGCAAATTTATGGCCAAATTGAGTATCATGAGGATGAATCATTTGAAAATGCAGGAAGATGTATGTTGTGTGATTGACTGTTATACAATAGTCTGCAGGAGTGAGACAATACAAGAAAAGAAAGGCAAAAACAACACACTCATATGGGCAGCTTTGGGCACGAGAGGAAGTTTTTGGAAAGGATTTATGAGTAACTGGGAAGTGTTGTGGAACTTCCCCATGAAGCAGATTTCAACTACAACAATACAGTTAACAGACTATACAAGAAGGCCAGCTGGGAACATGTGGTACTATCATAAAAAAGAGGTCCAAATTTATACAATGGAGCGGGTCATGTGGCAAGGTTATCTGCAATATTCGGGTAATTATCGACCACAATGGGCTAACATATCAATGCAACAAGGTAGAAGGACAAAGCAGGATGAAGCACATGTAAGGATATTACCAGAAATCAGTTCAATAATGAACAAAATGCAAGAGATAGACAATGATCGAAGGCACGAGGGTCTTGAACATCATAAGTTCTGGACAGTGGCTACTGGGTGCAATCAACTGAAGATGCATATCTGGACCTGTTTTAGGTTTTATTACCTAGGACTAGTTCTTACTTTCAATTATTATTTAGATCATATGTGATATCAATGTTGAACTTACTCGATATTGATAATAGGTTCTATGTACGCGTCAAATTTTATTTCCTTCATACAGTTAGACCACCTGACTCTCAGTTTGTTTTTTGACAAGCATTAAGAGGATTAGTACAGTAAGGTTAGCCCGGTTTGTGTTATATGGGTAACAATACCGGTGTTATTGTCTCCCTTATTTGTACTTTTCCTAATTGATGTATTTTCTTTTCTGTTATAAATAAAAAACTAACCCTAGGCACTTGCCTAGTGGATTGCCAAAAAAAAAACTTCACATGAAAAGTCAACAAGTCAACCCCCAGGTCCACATGCCTAGATTTTAAAAAATTTTGAAGATAAATATTACTAGTAGTACCACGAACTTTAATATATGATTTATTTCCAATTCTATGTCCAATTTCATAGTCAAAACTCAAAAATACCATTTCTAGATTTTCTTCCAAAATCCCACAATTCCACTAATTTCAATATTTAAATTCACATAAAATCCATGTATTTTACTTACAACAAGTAGGAATAACTTACCTTATGATAAATGGTAAAAATTATCTTCAAGAATCACCCAAAATCGCCCTACTTGTGACTCCAAAAACAATATAAGTGAAGAAATAAATTCAAAATCCTGAAATTGGATGTTTAATACCCCTGTCGGGCCTCTATTTTCGTGATGTGGTCACTAGCCACGTGATCGCG